ATTTTAGACAATGGTAAGATAGCTTTATCATTTTTTATTATTTTTAATTGTTTTAGCATATTTTCTTTCTTTAACTAGATAATTATAAGTTATTAATAGAGAGAAATTAGATTATGTAAAGGATTTACTTAAGAAATTACTAGTAATTACTTATAATATAGCTATTAAATTTTGAATTTGAACAAAAAGAGAAGTATTAATAATTACTTATAATATAACTGTTAAATTTTAAATTTAAATAAGAAGAGAAATAATATTTATATTTTAAGATTTATTAAGTTACTAATAAGTATTCTGAATATTCTGATTTTGTTTATTATTATTATTATTATTATTATTATTATTATTTTGATTTTAATTATTCTAGTTTTGAGAAATATTTTGATTATTATTTTACAAATTTTCAAGTTAAAAAATAGTTGAATATATTTATTTTCATAATTATAATAAGTAATATCAGATTTATTTTTTTACTGATCTTATTACTGATTATTATTATTATTCTAATTATTATATCTTCTATCAGATTTTACTTGGTTTAGTTTATTGGTTAAATCCTGTAAAATCTTAGTAAGAGAATATTCTATTTATTAATTAATTAAGCTTGAATCTAATAATAACTTTATTCTAAAAGATTATAATTAATTTCTTTAATATTTTTGACAGTTTTAATAATACTTTTTATTATATTTTCAGTATTAAAATTAACTTATTTTTTAATTTCAAACTTGAAATCTTTTTTAAAAATTTGAATTTTATATTCTTCTAGATATACTTTTTCTAAATTTACTTTATTTTCTAACTTCATAAATTAATTAATATATTTTTTATGATTTCAATTTGTTTGAGAGATTTTAATTTATTCTACTATTATTATATCTTATAAAATAAATAAAATTTATGAATAAAATGATAAGTAAAATTATATTTATCATAATCTTGATTAGTTTAATCAGTTAACTCAAAAATATTAATTGAGATTTATTAATCAAATCAGATAATAACTAATTTCTTTAGATATTTTCTTACTATTTCAATTTTTCTTTTATTGATAATTCTATTAACTTTGATAATTATTTTAAAGTTATATAACTATTTAATTAAATTCTAATTATTATCTTTAAATTTATAAATTAGATTAAGAATCTTTTTAGTTTATTAAATCTTTATGAATTAGATAAGTTTATTAAGAGCTTAAATAAAATTATTTATATTATCTAATATATTAGAATTTTTTTTAATTAAGAATTTTATTATTGAATTTTTTTAATTATAATAATTAATTCTTCAGAATTTTTAGAATCACTATTTTTATATTCTAATTCAGTTAATTAATTAGTTAAGAGAGTTTTAAAATTATTTGTCTTTTCAAGAACTATAAAAATATTATTAACTAGATAGATCTGTTATTTAACTGTAATTTTTATATCAAATACAAAGATATTAAGTAACTTGATAATTTTTCTTCAAAATTGATTAAATATATAGTTTTATTATATTATAAAATTAAAAATTTTCTGTGATAATTTATTATGTAAAATCATATAATAATCTTAAATTCAGATAAGAAAATTTATAAATTTTTTATCTGAATTTTGATTAGTAAAATAATAATAAGAGTAATAATTATATAGTTTAATATAAAATAAATATTTTCAAGAATTTTTTTGATTATATTTACTGAGATATAAATTAATTAGAAATCTAATAAAAGAATAATATATACTCATAAATTATAAAATTATTTAAGTAAAATAAAATACTTCAAGGATAGCTAATTTTTAAAATAATTAAAAAATATATATAATAAATAAAATAAAAAGATTTCTGATAACTTTAAATCTACAAAGAGAATATTAAATATTATAAATTATATTTATAAAGATAGATTTTATTAGAAATATAGCTTATAATAAATTTTGAGAACTAAGACTGAATTATTTATAAAGATAAAGAAAATTATAATTATTCTAAAGATTTTTTAATATTAATACTTATAAGTATTATATTATTATAAGATAAAAATAAAAATAAATAATAAAAAATATGATTATAAAAATATAATAAAGAAAAGATATCTAAAATAACTAAACTAAAACTATAAATTTAGTATGTTAACTAAACTTTCTATAATATTTTTTTAATTATTAAATAAATAAAGAATATATATCAAAAATAATTAAAATTTTTATATATAGAAAAGCTTATAAGAATCTTTTAAATCAAAATAAAATATACTTGACTTATTTTAAGTGAAAGATATTCATTTTTCAGACAAGAAAAATATGTAATTAATCAAATATAATTTATTATAATATAAAAATAAATATCAAGATAAAAGAAATAAGTATAATTATAAAATAAGTATAATTTAAATAATTTTTAAGTACAAAAAAATTATTATTATTCAAGTATATTTATTTTATATTTAAGAGCAGAAATATTTATACATATTTAAGATTATATAGACTTTATTTGAGCTTTATTTATAATTATTTGTAATTATAGTATATAATTATAAGTATGAAGTGAAAATCAAGTAATGAACTATAAACTAATAAATAAAAATTAAAAATAAGATATATATAATAATTAAAAGATAATATAAATAATAAAATAATAAATAATAAAATAAAATAAATATTTTATAAAGAAAAAATAACAAAAAAATAAATAAAATTTATTTTTGAACTACTTCTGAAATATAACTAAATTATTAATAAATTATTAGTAAATTAAGTAAATTATATATTTATAATTCTGAATTATTTCTAAAGTATTACTGAATTATAGCTAAAATATAACTAAAATTATTATTAATATACTAATTAAATTCTTTTAAATTATATACTTTTTAAAAATTAATTGATTGATTAAAAATTCAAAGTTCAAAAAATTATAGAATTAAAAAAATTTATGTTATTATAATAATATTATTAATATAAATAATTAAAATTAATAATATTATTTCTAAATTAATAAATATAATTAATAATTTCTTATTATATTTTAGTAAAATAATTAGATATAAGCTATACTAATTATAAAATAATATGTTAATTATTATAATTTATAAATTATTTTATATAAAATTTTTTATTAAATTATAAAGTTATTATTAATTATTGATTAAGATTATTTTAGTAATTAATACTTATTAAAATAGATTAAATTATTATTATACTTTATATATTATATATTATAATATATTTATAATTAGTTTTATAATTTGTAATATTCTTTTTTCTTTATAGAGAGAGTATTAAAAAGTTATTATCAAGTTAAAATTATTAATATATGATAATTTTTTCAAGTTAATCTAATATTTATAGTCTTGAAAAATTAATTTAAAATAAAATTTATAAATTTAAATTAAGAATAATATATAATATTATTTAATAAAAAAATATTAAAAATAAAGTAAAGTATATAATAATACTTTAATTTATATAAAATAATAAATTAGAAAAAAATAAGAGAAAAATTATAATAATTTATTTTACTATATTATAATATATATTTTTTTATTATTTTTTAATTAAAATTATAAAATAATATATTATTTATTATATGTATATATATTAAGAAATCTAATATAAAACTATTTTCTAGTATATATTTGAATAAAAAACTAATGAATAAATAAAATAATTAATATTATAATAAAGAAAAAATCTAATTAAATAATATATAAAATAGATAATAAATATTTAAATAATTAAATAAGATAAAAAAATATAATGTAATATTCTTTTATTATTATTAATATAAATTAAATCTTATATTATATTCTAATAATACTAAATATCAATACTTAATTAAATATTTTTAAAAAAGAAAAAATAATATTATATAATATTATTTTATATATAATTTATAATTAAAATAGTAATAATATAGAATAAAAAAAAATAAAAAAAAGATAAAAAATTTAAAGAATAATAAAATAAAACAAAATAATATAATAAGATCATGAAATAAAGATAAAGAATGAATTAGTAATAATATAATAAGTAAGCTTTTTTATTAAGTTAAGCTTTACAAAAGAACTTATAAAAATTAAATAATTTTTTTTAATAAAAAATATCTTTATTTATTCATATATAATATATCTATATATAGATATGATTATATTGATTATAAATCAGCACCAACAATTTTAATATTATAGTTATTATAACAAGTTTATTATAAAATAATTACTATAATCAATAATTTTTATTATAAAAATTTCTGTTCTCATCTATAATATTAAAATATTACTGTAAGAAATATTACTATAACCAGAGTTAACTGTATATTAATATGTATAGAGTGGCCAAAGTATTTATTTAATAAGAAAATTAATTCAACTTTAAATTGCTATCACTACTAGTTTTGTCAGTAATATATTTTTCATATTTGGTTTGCTGGATTGATACAAAAACTTGCGCATTCCTATTTGGCATAGATCACATGATGGACTACGCTTTAACTGCTCCCCTAAATAAGTAGTAGTAATTTAATTTTAGTGGTGGTTGTATGCACCGCACAAGTTCGAAGACCCGATTTTGAGCTTGATCGTAATGACAACAAATGATGTTGTTCTAAATTACATGTGTTATTTGGATCATACTATCTAAATTCATTTTAGTTAGTGTTAATTATATTCTCGAGAATTTTTCGATATTTAGTATCAATTTTTCCCAGTATTAACATTAATAGAACTTATCGCTAATGCGGTCTTTTGTCATTAATACTGTTGCCACCACCCCGTTTGAGGGTCAAAAGCTTGGGACTAGTGGTTTGAGGAAGCGTGTCAAAGTATTTCAACAGGAACATTATACAGCCAACTTTGTGCAGGCTTCTTTGGATGCTATGCCGAATCCTGGCAAGAAAGGCGCTACTTTGGTGGTTGGTGGCGATGGAAGATATTACACAAAAGAAGCTGCGCAAATTATTATACGTGTCGCGGCTGGCAATGGTGTAAGAATAAAATATTGATTAAAAAATACCTTTATTATTATATTTTAGAATTTCTTATTGTAAAAAAAAAATTGAAATGTAAATTTAATGTTTATTGTTAAAATAAAAAATTATCAGGTTTCTAAATTGATAATTGGAAAAAATGCGATTTTATCAACCCCTGCTGCATCAAATCTTATTCGAAAGCGTCATGCTACCGGTGGCTTTCTTCTAACCGCTTCTCATAATCCAGGCGGTAATATTATAAATAATTTTATAAAAAATTCACGATTTGAAATCTCATGCATCTAACCAAAAAAATACAATAGGTCCTGATAATGATTTCGGCATAAAGTTTAATGTTAGCAATGGTGGATCAGCACCCGAAAAAATTACCGATAGAATATATGAATTATCTAAACAAATAAAAGAATATTTTATTGCTGGATTGCCGGAGGTCTCATTTATTGATTTCTCTTTAACAAAGGCATTTATTCGTATTTAACTTTTTTTATATTGTTTTATTAGGTTGACCTTTCAAATCTTGGTACAAAGAAATTCGGCGAGGATTTTACAATCGAAATAGTCGATTCTGTGGAAGATTATGTTCAATTGGTCAAAGAAATCTTTGATTTTGAATTGATTAAACAGTTCTTCCAAAAAAATCCGGATTATAAAGTTCTTTTTGATAGTTTACATGGAGGTAAATTTTTTTGAGATTTGAAGCAATTTTATATCCCTTAATTTAACAAGTTGGAATTCATTTTGAATTTTAGTTACTGGTCCATATGTTGAAAAAATATTCGTGAAAGAGCTTGGACTTCCTCCTACCTCCATTCAAAATTATGTACCTTTGCCCGATTTTGGCGGTGGTCATCCAGACCCTAATCTTACGTACGCACGTTCTTTAGTAGAGCGAGTAGAAAAAGAAAATATTAATTTCGGAGCTGCTTCAGATGGAGATGGAGATCGTAATTTGATCTATGGCAAAAATGCTTTTGTTAATCCATCTGATTCTTTGGCTGTTATCGCTGCGAACGCAGAAATCATTCCATACTTTAAACGAACTGGATTAAAAGGTATTGCCCGAAGTATGCCAACAAGTGGAGCTGCCGATTTAGTTGCAAAGAAAAAGGGAATAGAAATGTTTGAAACGCCAACTGGTAAGTCGAATTTTGGAATTTCTTTTAACATAAAGCAGTTCGAAATTGACATTTAAGGTTGATTTCAAGGATGGAAATTCTTTGGCAATCTTATGGATGCTGGTCGCATTTCGATATGCGGTGAGGAAAGTTTTGGTACTGGATCTGATCACATTCGGGAAAAAGATGGTATTTGGGCTGTTTTAGGTGAATATCATTTAATTAAATGTCCTATTTTGCAAAATAAAACGATGACCTCTTTTTCATATTTTTTAGTTTGGCTCAACATTATCGCTCATGCGAATGAGAAGAATCCGGGAACTGGTATTAAGGAAATCCTTCTTGCACATTATAATGAATATGGGCGAAACTTTTTTTCACGGTAATTAATATGGTATTATTATCAAATATCTCTTAAATTTTACCAAAAACTATTTTTGTTATTCCCGAAAGATACGATTACGAAGAGGTCGAAGAACAACAAGGCAATAATGTTATCGAACATTTAAGAAATTTGTTGAGCACTCAGCGAGACTCATTTATTGGCAAAAAGTATGGTAATTTCACTGTTAAAGATGCCGATGACTTCGAATATCACGATCCAATCGATGGTAGTATTTCAAAAAAACAGGCAAGTATTTAATGTATTAATAATTAGGTTCATTTACACAAAATTAATTGCTTTCTTTTCATTAATAATAATGAAGGGAATCCGAATATTGTTTGAAGATGGTTCTCGAATTGTTGTACGTCTTAGCGGTACAGGTAGTCATGGGGCAACTGTGCGTCTATATGTCGAGAAATATTCAAAAGACCCTTCAGAATATGACGCAGACCCACAAAAAGCATTAAAACCTTTGATAGACGTTGCATTAGAAATCTCGCAAATACCCACATTTACTGGACGCAGTGAGCCGACCGTCATCACTTAAATAAAAATAATGTGTACATTTCATGTGTACGTAATCCATATTTTAGTATATTTAATAAATGAGATAAAAGATATTATGCCACGTATTCTACAGATAAAATTAATAAAATTGCGACACGAGACAAAATATACGATGCACCTCTCTTTCATAAGTTTTCCAAACTCAGTTTTTTGAATATCACCCTATTATATACTTAGGGTCCGCGTGATCTTTTGCTGAGCATAGTTCCATTGCTCTTTGATTCAAGAATGGCATTAATAAAGTTAACATTTACATTAATGTGCATTCTGGCACTTTTGATTCGTCTTGTACTTCTCATATATGGCGAATGGCAAGACGCGAATTTCCAAGTGAAATACACTGACATAGATTATAAAGTGTTCACAGACGCCGCGCGTCTTGTTACTCGAGGCGAAAGTCCTTACGAACGTAGCACCTACCGTTACACTCCACTCCTAGCTTTCCTTCTCATTCCAAACATACACATTCACCCCATATTCGGTAAACTTATTTTTGTCTTAGCCGACTTTTTAGTTGGAGTTCTCATATATAGGCTCCTAAATCTACGTGGACTACCCGAAGAACGTTCTGTTATATACTCGTCGTTATGGCTACTAAATCCGATAGTGGCTAATATATCAACTCGTGGAAACGCAGAAAGTCTACTTGGTGCTTTAGTCTTACTCACCCTATATTGGATATTAACGAAACGTTTTGTGGCGGCTAGTATTTTGTATGGTTTCGCCGTGCATTTTAAAATTTACCCGATAATTTATGTCGGGTCTCTATTGATTTTATTGGATGATGAAGATTATTGGGGAATTCGGCGAAAAGGCAAAGAAAAAGCGTATCCACGATGGACCAGGCAATATTGGACTGGGCAAGCAGGCATGTTTGTTACTTGGACGCGTATCAAATTTGGATTAATTAGTGGCGGCGTGTTTTTCTTGTTGAATGGTGTAATGTATTACCTGTACGTATTTGATTAATTACACGTATGTGTATCTCGTCTAATCTAAACTTCTCTCTCTCTCTTATTTATCTCTTTTACATTCTCTCTACGCTCTTTATTGCGTGAAATATCAGGTACGGTCAAGAATTCCTTCAAGAAACATATCTTTACCACTTGATCCGTAAAGACCATCGTCATAATTTTTCATTATGGTTTTATTACATCTATCTTAATTACGACAATTTCGGATCTTCGAGTATATTTTCTATGTTGAGTTGGCTAACAGCTTTACAGATTTCCGCGGTGACGTTGTTGGGTTTAGTTTTTGGCAAAGATATCTTCTTTGCGTGTTTTGTGCAAACATTTGTGTTTGTCGTGTATAATCGAGTTTGTACTTCACAGGTAACCACGCAATCAATAATTTGGGATTGAATTCATATCAGTTCGTCTTTATGCTCATATTTTTTTATATTTGTAGTATTTCATGTGGTATATTTGCTTATTCCCGTTGATAATTCCATCGTCCGACATTGCTTTCAGATACAAAGGTCTTTTTATGTTAATTGCATGGGTTGGGACACAGGTAATAAATAATAATAATCTGAAAAATTTTCATTTTAATTATTTATTATCAAATTGCATTTATTTTTAGGCTCTCTGGTTGTCTCAAGCGTATCAACTAGAATTCCAAGGCGAAAACACATATTTCGCAATATGGATGTCAAGTTTGGCGTTTTTCGCCGCGAATATATGGTGTTTAATTGAACTTATTAAACATCATATCTATGAACCGGTGTTTGAATTAGGGCAAATAAAGAAAGTTTGGGAGCGATGGCCTCTTCTGAATAATTTTAGTAATGGTAATGGCAAAGGAGAAATGAATGGCGATTATGATGAGGAGGATAATGAGATGTTTTTTTAAGTAATAGAATTCTTTAAGGTGGAAGATGAGTCTCTCCGAAAAAAATAGTATATTTTCTATGAGTGTACACTAATAATTAATACCTAATTTATTAAAAATAAATCGAAATTATATAATACATATATATTGATATGATTTACAAGAGTATTTATTATTTTGTGAGTAATTATGACCAATATTTATTAATGTAAATCTTTATTGATAATTTTTCAAGAATCCACATAATTTTCTACATGGCTTCACCTGGCAAGCGGGCGATAAACAGATTGACTGGTTTTCTGCCAAAAGGTGGCCCTGGCAAGGGAGCTTTTACGGGAGTGGGTGCCATTGTTACATTGGGTCTTCTAGGTGTGGGAATAAATGCTAGTTTATTTAACGGTGAGTTCTTCATTTGGTGAATTTTGGTAAATAACTCGGTAAAAATATTCAAAAAAAATAAAGGCGGTAATTGGATAAGAAATCAATGGCCCAAGAACCATGCAAATTTCTTTAACTGAACAAATTATTGAACAATTCAAATAAGATCTTTTCCTCAAATACATTCATATACGCATTTCATTTTTATTATTCACGTGTTTATTACTTTTACCCTAATTATATATTATGATTCTCAAATAAGTTGATGGTGGTCATCGAGCAATCAAGTACAAAAGATTATTTGGTGTGCAAAAACAAATCTATAATGAAGGAACACATATTATGATCCCATGGTTTGAGACACCGATTGTTTATGATGTACGAGCAAAGCCAAGAAATATTGCATCATTGACTGGAACAAAAGGTAAAATCATAAACACCAATTTTGAGAAGCTTTTTGATCAATAATGCTTTTATTATTATTTTTTATTTTTAGATCTTCAAATGGTAAATATCACTTGTCGTGTCTTATCCAAACCGAATATTAGTGAATTAGCCACTATCTATAGAACTCTTGGCACCGATTATGATGAACGTGTTCTTCCTTCGATCGTCAATGAAGTTTTGAAATCGGTGGTCGCGCAATTTAATGCCTCGCAACTAATTACACAACGTGAAAAGGTAAATTCTAATAATAATATTATTAAAATTTACTCCGTTAATTAATTGATTTTCTATGATTAATTAGGTATCACGTCTCGTTCGTGAAAACTTAACACGACGAGCACTCCGATTCAATATCATTTTAGACGATGTATCAATCACCCATGTTGCGTTCTCACCAGAGTTCACTCATGCTGTAGAAGCAAAACAAATCGCGCAACAAGATGCACAACGGGCGGCTTTCATAGTCGAACGTGCAAGACAGGAAAAGCAATCAATCATAATCAAAGCAGAAGGAGAAGCAAAATCCGCAGAATTGCTTGGTGAAGCGATAAGAAATAAACCTGGATTCATTGAATTACGAAAAATTGAGACAGCACGTGATATCGCAAATATTTTGTCGAACTCACAAAATAAGCTTTTGTTGGATAGCGAAACATTGTTGTTAAACCTGTAAATAGTAAGTATGTAATTAATTGGTAGTTTGTCTTTGGCGACCTGATGTGTCAAAGATGGTAGAAATGTTACCATTCAACTCGGATAATAAAATTTTTATATAAATAATACCTGCAACATCAGTTTGTCAATTTTTTCATGTTTGAATCATCGATAATTTAGGAATAAATTAGAAATTATCAAATTTATCAATTTATACGGCACGATATCATTCCGATTTTTTCACTGACATAATATTTAATAACGATTGGAACCGGGGTTGCAATTACAATATCAATCATGTGATGAATTTATTTTGGATCCAAATTTGGACTTGGCACAGCAATTGCTATTTCATTTTTTATCCTTATTGACTTTCTTTTGAGAGAATGATGGCGTTTGTGATTTATGAGATTTCATGAATTTTTTTTGGATTTTAGATGCAAGTTCGTTCTTGACTTCTCCTTGTGTTAACTGTTGTGCTGATGTAGTAGTTTTTTGATATATTTGGCGCGAGAAAAACGGCCGAGAAGTTGCTTTATCAATGATTTTTGGTTGAGAAGATTTTTTTGAAGTATCTAAGCGTGGAGGAGGTTTGACCTTTGAATTGAATCCAGAATTTGTAATTCCTTGGACAGGTATTTGATGACTTGAACCCGGATTTCTTATTTGAGGCTTGTTTGGAATTGATCTTTTTTTCTCAATAACTGAAAAGAATTAATTAGAAAATTAATATTACTATTTAAATCACGATGGATTTAAGCATATTTACGCATACCATCTTTTCTCTTTTCAAGTTCCTTATTTTGTTTCATAGAAATAGATGTCGGCGTCGAAGCCGCCTCAGATTTATTTGAACTTGCATGTGCAATATTATAGTTTGACGGCTTTCTCAATCTTGAATCAAAACCAAAGGTTGCTAAACGAGCCGTGATTCCCGATCTTGTGACGCTTGTCACTTTTGGTTTTCTATTATTGTTGACGCCAGATGGTCGATGTAATAAAGATTCGTTGGTTTTTCCAGTACTCTTTTCCTCGTGTTTGTAGATTGGTTGAGAAGTTTTCGCAAAATCTTGTTCATTTGTAGAATGAATCAATTTCTTTTTTTTTATTGGAGAGACTTCCGATTCATCTTCTGCTTTTCTTCTTTGTGCAGCATAATGTTTAATAATAGATGGCATTTTGTCAAAATTTTTTTTATGAAGTTTGTCAAATCGACTTGGTGTCAATCCTTCGCTTGCCTCTTCGGGCTGCAACGACCTGTTTGCTTTTGGCGATGGTGTCAATTCTCCAAGATATTTCTTGATTTCCGGAGTAGGGAGCTTCTGAACTTCCGCGACGCGTCTTTCCAATTCTGCTAACACAGCGGCTGCCGCTGTTTGGAATGTGGAATCATCTACTCGCATTCCAGAATTGAAAACGAATGGCTCCGTTGAAGTCGAAGGATCATACGATTCTTGGTCCTTTTCTGCCGGCTGTTGCTCAGTAAGATTCGAATCCTCGTTAACTTCTCGATCTGTATTTAAAGTTTCTTCTTTTTCTGATAATGGCGCATTTCTCTTAGTTTCATTAATTGCTTGAATATCAGAATTAGATGACGCAGGATGATCAATCAAAGGGGATTCTTCGTCATAAATCGGTGTTTTTTCACTTGAGAGATTTTGACTATTCAAATGCGGCTTTTTGATTGGTGTTGCAATTTTACGCGCCATGAAATTTGATATTCTAGGGGAAAGTAATGGGATAAAGGATTGCTTGTTTTCTATTTGGGTTCTTATATTAAGCGGCGACATCTTTTTGTCTGGTGATGCTATTGTCTTTCCCTCGTCGTTTTCTATAGAAGTATCGTCTTTGGATGCTAGTATTTCTCGAAATGCTATTAAAGTTATTATGTTTATAGTAAAACCAATAGAACTCACGATTTTTGTGTGTAAACAACAAAACATCAATACCTTGGCCAATATTTTCAGAAGAAATCTTGGGGGAATCAGCATCCATTGAAAAGGATGGTGGCGGAAGTGGAGAAAGAGAGGCAATATTAAAGGACGAAAAGTCATTTTCATTTTGTTGACTCTGATGGTTTAATGCATATTCTTGTAATTTTTTGATCAATTCCGTATTCTGTAGAAAGATTAGGTTAATTTGAATTTTGTGACTAAACGTCGTGTATGTAAAAAGTATGTTCTGATTTGCAAATACCTTTAAGTTAGCTTTTATCCCATAACGTTTACAATATCTCTGCAATTGAGCGCGTTTAATGCTAGCCAATTTTTCCGGCGTCAAAAATAACTTTCGTGTTTCCTCGGTTAGAGGTTTTTCTGACTTGCGCGGAGTTTTCATGTCGTCGAATGGAGATTTTAAAGGCGCTGTAGGGGTCGTAGTAGTAGAATTCGTATTTCCTACGTTATCTACTAACTGTAGGGGATTACATGTTGCAATGTGATTTGGCGTTTCTGGACGTGCTGGTGAGATGAAAACAGTATTGCCGTTATTTTTTTTTGTATCTTCCATACTTGACAAAACAAAACAAGAACAAATATAAATAATTTAAAATTTAAATATCGATGTGTTTGATTTTTGTTTTTTACGCGTTCTTGATCATATGATAATCAACCAATAAGAATGCTAAGAATGCGCAAATCATGTGAAAACACTTAGTTATATCAAGTACTTTTAAACTGCAAAAACTTTATATCTAAATATATGACAAAATAAAATATATTATTAACTTTTAATAAGATCTTTAATATATTTTTTGTAAGACTTAATAATTTTAAAAAGTTAAAGTTTTAGTTTTTATATAATAATTTTAATAAAAAATTAAAAAAAAATTAAATTTTAGTTTTAATATAAATTATTGCAAAAAATTGATATATTAATATAAAAATTAATAATTACTTCTAATAAAAATCATTCAAATTTTAATTAATTTTTTTATATTAAATAAAAAATAATCTAAATTTACTTTTTATATTATTTTAATTATTTTATTATATTTTAATTTAAT